ATTCGTGAGAAACTCAATACAAAAGCGGTTGAAGATTAATCTTAAAAGTATCGATTGATGTTCAATTCTAATTGTAAAATGTATTTTTGGTCGATTTTAACTATCAAACTGGGTATTTTGTTCTCAGTTCTTTATTAAAAAAGTCTTAATGTAAAAAATAATTTCATTACAATCATAAAGTTAAATCAATGATTATACATAAAATTAACCAATGGAAAGATTCAACTTCCTGTCCTTCAATCTGTAACCAGTAGTCTTGAACTACACCTTGTTTGCGTCAGCTAAGGCAACAGAATATTATCGTGACTCAAAGCTTAGTACATTAAATATGTATTTGGTATATAGGCTTTGCATACTAATGATATTTTATTCTTGGTTTAAGCAAACTGGTTTGGTTACAAATGTAATGAACAAATGTGTTAAAACCGGATGGAATAGAGTAGTATATTTAGAAAAGACACAGTTTACGAAGAAAATGTGTGTACATCTAATCTTCAAGCTTCATTGTGCAAAAAAACAACCAGATTAATTGGCTGTTCTTCTTCTTCTCATGTCCACGTCATGCATTCCGATCTGAGACTCTTCTCTCCAGTAGTAACCTCTAAGCGACGCTCATCTGCATACTACTTACAATCCATATGTTGTGAGTAGTATCCACTACACCAGTAATATTCATAAACATTTGGTTTATTTCATTTAACTTAATAATTGATATTTATCAGAATAGTTCATTCCATTATGCAATTCTTCTTAACATAAATATTTTTCTCATTTTTTATTCCTTTTGAGAGGAAAAAATAGTTGACATATCACAAATATTTACATAATTTTATCAGGTGTTCTAATTTTATTTCTCTATAATCTTGTTTTTTTTTATCATTTATACTTGTTTATTTGTTATAATTAAAATTCACCAATGATAATTGTCGGAAGAAAAAAAAGTATGATAAGAAAGTAGAAACAAATACGTATTTTATCTGTTTTTTTTCCGCAAACACAAATTAAACGTGAAAAAACAAACTTTCTCTGTTTTTTCAGTGACACCTACTGGTCCAATGAATGTTGCAATAATTGGCACAGATTCTTATCCATCAATGCATACTTCTCTATTATTAACATCTAAAAATCAATTTGTACCACCTAGTCAAATTAATCAATCTCAAGTGAACAATTTACAAATTGGTACAACAACACCCACACCAGTACCGAATGTAATCATGGCAAATAATACAATTTTGTCTTCCAATTTAACACCAATAAGAGCTATTTGTATGCCAATGCCGCAACAACAACAACAACACCCATCTGTTCAGCCATCACAAGTTACATCTACCACTGGTCAGAGAACTGTATTATCACAAATTAAATTACCACCTGGTTGTACAATTCTTACCGGATCTGGTCAAACTCCAAATATTACTGGTCGTATTATTTATGTTGATAGAGCTACTGGACAAGTAAGTGAATTGTGCCATCAGTAGGATTTGCAATTATTATTATTATTATATGATTTCTATTGTTCTAATTTGTTATATTCATCAGTTTTAATTAGTTTCCTTAGCTGTTCCATTTTCTAACCTTTTAATAAATTTAAACAAAGCAAGAACAATGTGATTTCTAAAATACAATAAATTCATCATTTTACTTTACAGTAACTCATCTCAATTCCAAAAACATATTGAGCTAGTAAAATTAGAATGCGTGTTCCAAATAGAAACTGGAGTTCTAATTATAATATTTTCGAGAGATTGTGTTTTCACACATTTGAAATTATCAATCAATCATTGGTAGGCCACCATTAGAAACCTGGAAGCACTGAAAGACGGCCGTTTCGTCCTGGTATGGGACTCATCAGCAGTGCGCATCCACGACTCCTGCACCTCGCAGAGTTAGACAATAACACTGTCGGATGCCGGCCAAGTGATCCGTTGGTTAGGCGTTCGCGCACAATACCGGATGTTCCGTGTTCGAATTCTGCCAGGTGCAGTACTCGTGGATGCGCACTGCTGATGAGTACCATACCAGGACGAAACGGCTATCCGGTGCTTCCAGGTTTCTAATGGTGATCTAACAATGATTGATTAATGATTTCAAATTATAGTTATAAGTTTCGTTTTTCTGAATACGGTTTCAAGTTCTTCTATTTTAAACATTCATCTCAATCACATGAACTAACTCTTTCTTTTATTTGAGATCAGAAACTGTGTGTGAGAGAGAGAGAGAGAGAGTGATGAATTAATTTTTTTATCCTCTAACTCTTGTTGTTCTTGTTTTTGTTTACATTATCTAACTGTTTACACTGTTCAATTCATTTTCTTGAAATAAAGTCTAATTATAGCGCGGGAAATTTAAATCCATAATTAATTAGTTGACTTATTGAAAGAAAACATGAAACTTAACAAAGAACTAGAACAAAAGTTCTTCACTATAAATATTCATTATAAATATTTATTTTACAATTTATGTGAAAAAAAAAACAAATCGAGAATCTGTTGTCAGTGAAATACTAAAAGTAAACAGTTAAATTTACAAACATTTAAAAAAATTGGCCAACATATTTGTTAAAATCGTACTGATTGTTAGGAAATAGTTTGAACAAACCACCCAGTAGTCTGATTGGAACTATTTCGAAGAAATATAACATATATATATATATATATATATATACGTAATTTATTAGTTGATAAGTTATGGTTGACAGAAAACAACATCGTTTGCATTAATCATTCACACAGATCGATATCATCACATGTTACAAAAAAGAATTCCTTCTATTTTCTGTATTAACCTTTTGTCATTTTTTTTATAATTTTGAGTAATGATTACTATTTTCTAAGTTGACTTTTAGCCTCACTGATGAAAAACTTATGTCTTAACAGAGAACATTAAACTCTCTTTCTCGAAATCAAACTGTTCTAAACAATGCAAATAAATGTCTAGTAAATAAACTTCTGTTACTGTTTAAGTCCTAAGTGTAGTAGTATTGTTTCTCAATTATTGATCAGTTTGTACAACACATCAGCCAGTGAAAATCAAGATTGATTGTCAAATAAATAGTTTAATGAAAGCATTTCCAAAGTAGTATAGTTTTGAAACGTTTGCAAAAGTATGCATTTGTTTGAAGTTGACTGATAGAGAAGAAATTAACTAACATGAAAATAGATTGTAATATATCTGCTTTCTGATCAGTTGCAAATACCTAAACCCCAAGTTCATTTGTTCTATCTAATTTCTTTGTGCATTAAGGTTTTTCTCAACACACTATGCAGTGTTGCATAGTTTCTTCGCCAAAATCAACAAATCGATTGTAAACCTTTTAATTGCATCATCATAGACAATTATATTTACCAATTAAGATAAGTATCAACAACAATCTAAACTAATCACATTTCTGAAGTATTTGAAACATCTATAAGATATCTCATTATTGTCATTTTCATGATCCCATTCTTTTGAGTTTCATTTACAAATTGAGTATACTTTTCATTCATGCTTCATTTGATTTGAATTGTACAAATTCTAATAAGTTTGCATAAATTAGAAGAAGTGAAAAGAAAGAGAGGGAATGTAATTAAAATAAAATTCTCAAATACATATTTACAAATAGTTAATTATTCCATAAGCTGACACAGACATTCATTTGTTGCTTAGTGTTTATTCATTTCTTCTTATTAGTCTTTTTACTTATTCTTTCCTTACTTTACAATGTAAATCAAATTATATTTTATCATTTGAAATCATTAATCAATCATTGTTAGATCACCATTAGAGACCTGAAAACATTGGATGGCCGTTTCATGCTGTTATGGGACTGATCAGCAGTGCGCATCCACGACTCCTACGCTTCGCAGGATTCGAACCCGAGACCTTCGGTATTGTGCGCGGACGCCTAATCATCGGATCAATGGGTTGGCATTCAAGTGTGTTAATGTCTAACTCTGATTAATCTAGGGATTTTGAGTGACCTTACCCATTTGTCTTTGGTAGTAACTGCCTACACCTGACAGGGTTGAACTCGATTGATCAGGTCTTCTCAACTAGAACTGCGAGAATTTCCTCACGAAGCTAGTCACTAGTGAGCACATGTTACGATATTTTCAGGTAGAGCTTTGGAGATTTGTGTTTTTACACATTTGAAATCATCAATCAATCATGCGTGAGGTCGCGCAAAACCCGTAGATCAATCAGAGTTAGGCATTAACACCGTTGGATGCCGGCCCAGTGGTCCGATGGTTAGGTGTTCGCGCACAAGACAGAAGATCCCGTGTTCGAATCCTGTGAGGTGCAGGAGTCGTGGATGCGCACTGCTGATCAGTCCCATACGAGGACGAAACGGCCGTCTTTCAGTGCTTCCAGGTTTCTAATGGTGATCTAACAATGATTGATTGATTGATGATTTCAACTGTGTAAAAAGCACAAACCTCCAAAACTCTACCTGAAAATTATATTTTATCACCAGTAAACTTTGTCTGCTTATGTTTGTTTATTTCTTTGAAATCAACTATTTACACATTGTACATCTTCTTTGGTTTGATGAGATGATGTTTTTGATCTTTCTTAATTTACATCTTGATCATTATTATTTCATTTTATTTATGAAAGAAAATTTTTTAGTACATAAACAGTTAAATGAACGTACAATTAATACACTCTTCACTGGTTTATTAGCAAATTCATAGGAAGCAGTTTTTAGTGACCATTTATTATAATTTTCCTTTAAGGAATTTTTTGCGAATAATATTAATGATAATATATCTAAAAAGATATTGAAATAATGGAGAAGATTTATAGCTCATAAGGATGTCATGTGTTACGTCTTTTGAGTTAGATAGATAAATTATGAAGCATCAATCAGATTAACGTTTTGTACAGCATTAGTAATACTTATTTTATAAAAGATCAATCACCTAGATCAGAGAATATATCAGATCATCATAGAAAGATTTTTCTACAGATTCCGATGTACATCTTAAATTTTGTTTTATTTTCATTATTCATACTGGACAGTGATGATTTTTGATCATTTTTTCATTCATTGTTGTATATTTCTTCTTTCTGAGATGATGGAGAAGATTTGTAGCTCAAGTGGATGATTGTGGTGGTAGTGGTGGTGTTTGGTTCTCTGAGCTGGGTGTTTTGGTTGTGGAGCTTTCATTGTTCTTCTTCTGCTGAACAACATCATCAGCACAAACTTCAGATAGAAGAAGTGAAGTATTCGAATTTCTCCACGTTTGACATGTCACTTGTTCTGCTAACCTCGATCTTGATTGGTTGATGTTGACTTTTAAACCTGTCGCTTTTTGCACCTTTGTTTTGATGATTGTGTCTCCCTTTTTGATCTGGAGAAATTAGAATGCTTCACTTCTATCTGAAGAAGTTTGTGCTGATGATATTGTTCAGTGTAAGAACAATGAAAGATCCTTAACCAAAACATCCAGCTCAGAGAACCAAACACCATCACCACATTCTTCTTTCTGTAATGTACAATAACCTTGTCTAATAATGTGTTATTTTTTTATTTATCATGTTTACAACCGAAATGATGCTTTGTATTCAAATAGTAAACTACTTCTTACCAACTTGATGAATAAAATTACATCTTCATGAATGGATTGAAAATATTTTGTAATTATCTCAGGCACTTGACCTATTGCTGAAATCGTGAATGGATCATTGTTAAACGACCATTGGAAAGCTGAAAACACTGGACGGCTGTTTCGTCGTCAGCAGCTGCGTATCTGCTAATGAGTCCCATACCAGGACGAAATGGTTGTCCAGTGCTTTCAGGTTTCTAATGGTGGTCTAATAATCATTAGATTCATGACTTCAGTAATCAACAATAATTTCAATAACTCTATAATGAAAAACAGTTGACCTAGCTAATTATCTATTCGTAGGGAACAATATTGTGTAATTTTAGAAAATAGAATTTAAAAATACTTCAAATTGTCACATTATTATTTCATAGTCTTGTAAGATTTTGTAAATGCATGTTCTTAGATAGCGAGATTTTCAAGTAATCAGTATCGTTTAACATATTTAAACAAAAAGTCCCAACTAGGACAAAATGCGCATCTCAAATTCCACTGCCAGTTACTATCCATCATCTCTACTTATTATACGTGTGACGTGAGAGTTATAACAAAGTAGTCCGCTGTGATTGCATATATGCCACAGCAGTCCTAAGCATTATTGGGGAGATTCAAACAGCCAATACAAATGCACTAAACACGGAATAGTTCATTCGAATTTACATATTTAACCTATCTAAATTGCTTTATATGCTCACTTTATCATTTGATTACTTACAGTGTCCAATATTTTGGTCAATTTTTCAATCATTAAGTCTTTTAATATAACACAAAACTAAAAAATTCATATTACATTCCAAATTCGAAAATTCTGTTGCTTCATTGTTTCTTGATTGTAGCACAACTATTTAAATTGTCTAAATAAGCCATAATTAGATGTTAAATCCTTATCATCAGGATTAAAAAAATTCATTTATCAACGATAAACATACATTATTTACTACATACATTGAAATTTCAATCAGAACAAGCTTTCATCAATATCTCTACAGATATTATTAGTTATACTTAATAATATGTGATATTCTGGGGTCAATTATATTACATTTGAAGACACATATACAACGACCAATTAAATGTAAACTAATGTAAGTGTCGTTACGTTGTAAGTATAGCAGCATGAACAGATTAACTAGAAAAAAGTTAAAGTGCATACTTAAAGCAAAGATAAATTTTAATGATATAAAATGTATGAGAAAGTGTTGCGCAAACATGTGTATTTTTTTATATTACAGTATTATTTAAACTCCTTGTTTAGTAGACATGATGTAGATTCAAGTGGAATGTTTGTGCATGATTATAAATGTTTATGTGAGGGTGTCTACTAGATGTTAGTTACATTCCACATTTTTTCACTGATTGACTAATAGATTATTTTATTAATCAATATTTACTTGACAAACTCATAGTTAATTGAACTGAATTCTTGTACTGTGGTGCGAGCTACTTATAAGTAGTATATGACGCGAGTGTAAACGTAATGTCTGGCAGCAGAAGATGAGGGAAGATCAAGAAAGGAAGAGTGGGAAAACACAATGGAATTTGTATGAAACGCATGAATAGTGAAATGTCAGACAATGGATTGATGATGGATTGAAGATTTGCAAATTAACCATTTACGATATGGTTTTCCTATTTTACTGAGTAACTCTATATTTTTCGTTAAATACAATTCGGTTGCCCTCACCTGTGTTCTCCTTCACTACAGTACGACTGTTTTTATCAGATATCACACACACATACATACATACAAGCACATACACAAATCTCCTTAACATTTTCCATTTTATTTAACTACATTGATAAATTAAACTGATCTATGTTTTTAATATTCCATCATCATTAAAACAAAAAGGAAATTGGACACATTGAATTCAGGAACTCTAATGTTATTAAATGATTAAATGATTATTTCAGATGATGATATGCTGCTTTGTTTTTGATCAAATATATTCATATGAAGTTGAAGAAAAACTCACAAACTATTTTGAATTTCATTGTTAACGTAAAATTCTTCATTTAATTATTTAATTGACTTATTATTAGTGTTAATGTTAATAGTTATATAACAAATAATCTCTCGAAATTTGTAACACATCATTAATCAGTGTTGTTACCATAAGGATTTTATTCAAACTAAGGTCTAGACAAGGTAAAAGTGATTATCTTTTAAATGGTGATTAAGATTGTATCATAAAACGCTCGAACAGTTTAGTGATAATCCCCTTATCTTAGTGATAAACATATGATGATCTCATTCAATCAGTGAGAACTTCATTTTACCATAGTTTGCCACTTACGCTATTAGGTTATCACTGAAAAACCTATAAAATTTTATGATATAACACTAATTTTTAAACTAAATACAACTTACTGAGCTTCATCTAGTCCATAGTCTCAAGTGAATTCCTTTTGAAATATTTGTTATACTTACTTACTTACTTACTTTCGCCTGTTACCACCAAAGGAGCATAGGCCATTGACCAGCATTCTCTAACCTACTCTGTCCTAGGCCTTCCTTTGCAGCTCTGTTCAATTTTTATTCATTCTTCCCATGTTTGTCTCCCTTTCTCGGCATGATGTACTTCTTGGCCTTACTCTTTTCCTTTAGCATTGGAGATTTCAAGTGAGGACTTGTGATGAGCACAGTTTGATGCTTTACTGATTGTGTCTTATTCGCATAAGACGCTTCTTCCTGATTTCTCCCACAACCGGCATCTTGTTTATTCTCTCCCACAGTATGTTGTTGCTGATGCTTTCTAGCCAACGGATCATAAATATTTTGCGTACACAAATGCAAATAAACACTCGTATCTTTTGGATTATGGCTTTCGTGGTTCTCCAAGTTTACGCTCTATACAATAGAACTATCTTGATGTTTGTATTGGAAATTGAGTTGACAGCTGTTTTGAGTTGCAGATGTTCTTCGGTTGTAGAAATGCTGTCATCACTTTCCCACATCTGCATCAGATCCACCTTGATTGTCAATGAAGCTCCTCAGACATGTAAAAGATTTTACATTATCCAAAGCTTCACCGTCAGGTGTGATTCGCTTTGTGCTTGTTGTGTTGTGTCGAATGCAAAGATAAATGATTAATAAGCGATGAAACCTGAAGGGACTGGACGGCCGTTTCGTCCTGGTACGGGACTCCTCAGCAATGCGCATTCACGACTCCTGCACCCCGCAGGATTCGAACCCAGGACCTTCGGTATTGTAGGCGAATGCCTACTCCTGCGGGGTACAGGAGTCGTGGATGCGCCTTGGTGAGGAGTCCCATACCAGGACGAAACGGCCGTCTTTCAGTGCTTCCAGGTTTCTAGTTGTGGTCTAACACTGATCGATTCATGGTTTCAAATATGTGTAACTTAACAATCTTCACAACCCCGTAATGTAAATCATTATTATCAGATTATGTTACTGCTTACTTCTTAAGTTGTTTTGATATTGAGTGATTAAAAATAGTCAACAGGAATGTGTTGGGTCTAGTTTTCACACTGATCAGCATGAGTCAGTAATATGTAACAGTAACGTTCAGGAGACTCGCGCTTTCCGTGGGATTTCGACCAACAGTCTTCAACTTACTTTTTTGGTGCATCTTTACATCTTTTACTACTGCCAATAATATTTTGCGTTTTTACTTTTGGTATTGTTGTCTTCTAAGTAAATGTTCTACTTCTAGATAAAATTTTCAGTGTCTAATTCAGTTAAAGAACTTCACACCACTAAAAAAAATTTACATGACCTCTTAATCTTCATCGTCTTTTATTTCCGTTACCAGTATTTTTAAAATCTAGTGCCGATTAAGTCAACAACATAATTAAACTGTTATCAAATAGAACATTTGTTCATTAGTGAAAATGTTACAACATTTCTATAAGCTATAAACCTTTCATCTTTTTTAACCGAACCACTGAAACTTGATGTCTGAATGATTGAAAAGCAGTGCCTTAAATTCCTAAATTAATGTTTCAATTGTTCAACAATCTTATAAAACACTTATCTATAGAGTTGATTATATTTCTTGATTAATAATGCGAACATCAATGAAACGTAGACAAATCTATCTAATACCTACGTATATATATATATATATATATATATATATATATATATATATATATATATATATATAACTGTACTAGCCTTTTTATTCTTGAATTGTTAGACTGAATTCTACAAGTTTTATTAAATGTATCTATCACATCGATGATTAAATAGTAAAGATGTTTCCTTTTTCTTAAGATTTCAAACAGTTTATAGAATTTCGCTACAAGCGTAATAATTTGAGAGGAAATTAAATCTCTAGTATTACTCTTTCCAAGTTGTTCGTAGAGACTGTTTAAATGTATAGTTTACATCAAAAATTAATCTTAATTAAACCATCATTGAAAATCTGGACGTACTAGATATTGGCTTTGTCTCTATATATAACTCATGAATGTTTATTCTCTACTCATAAGGGATCGAACTCACAATCTTCATACCTAGTACGCAGGTTGACTTACAAACCTTTATATTCAAACTGCGATATACGTAGTTAAGAAAGTCTGCTTTTCAAACCAGTAATATTTAAAAAGTTTTTGGAAAGAAATAAGAACAAGTGACTGTCATAACATTTTAAATTTGTCAGCAGTATAGTCATGTTTTGAAAGCATCTAGCACGTATATCTAGTCACAGCCTACCATGATGGTGATGTTCTCTAGTGTATGAGTAGATTGAAAACAAGCTGGGAGTGATCAAACCAAAAAGATATCTTTAGTAGATGAAAACAAGAACTGTTAGACTGAGTCATATCAGTAGATTTAGGCGACAAGGTAAGAAATCCATGATTACTGTAACCAGTGATTAGAGATTTTGAATGATATCGATCACAATCGTTCGGTGGTGTATTCACTCATAATCTTCCTCCAAAATCTCCTTTTACAGTTTTCTTGATTTTATGTCTAATATTTTCTACTAAACTGATACTGTAACTATTTCTACTGCTCTAAAATTCTTCTTGAAACAGTTTTATCTTGCTGTAATAATGTGTTATGTCAACTTGGATGTTCCATTAGAATAACGGATTCAATTATCAACAATATTTTATGATGATCTGATACTTTTCCTTCCTGAAATCAGAAATTGACCTTCTTAGTTTTGAAGTTCTGGTGTATTCTTTTTGGTAGTGTTCTATTCTCTCTGGGCAAACCGTTTAACTTCGCACTAGATGACATAATCAGGGATTGCTTCAATTCTACATGATTTAGGCGCCAACGATGTTAGCCACACAATAACAATGAGGGATTTACAATGAGGGTACCAATCATTATACGCTTCTTGTCCAACTGCATTACTTTGAAAAAAAGTTAACAAACTAAGAAACTTCAGTTGGAACGTTTTTCTAATCGAGGAAAAGATTCTCATAAACATTGAGTTTGATAAATCTTATCATTGTTATCGCATTAAAAATAACGATTCTTCACCACTAGAATCAGTAAATTCAATAATTTATGAAAAAAAGATTGTGCTCAACTATTTCATTTATGATAAACTCTTCTATATATATCATGTTACTTAGATTAATGAAACATCTCTTTTATGATTTTAATTTCCGAATTCTAGTCTTATATACCAGTCCTGACAAATGCCTCAGGTAATTTGAGTCAAATAGCTTTAGGAAATAATATACCCTTACCCATCAGACAACCACAATTTGCTCAAGTTGCTTCATTGTCAACAAATACTACATTATCGCCACAACCATCAACTCAACATCAACAAACACAATCCAATTGCACCGGAACTAATGAAAATACATGTGGTCAATCTGATCAACAGAGTACAATGCAAACTTCTAATACTCAAATTGATCCAAGTTCTATACCACCTGATGTGACTAGAAATATTAGTACAGTTGGCCGACGACCTGGACCTCCACCACCAGCACCTGAAGTAAGTGATACTTTTAAGAGTTATTTATCAAAATCAATCTTTTTATTTTCTTGTTAACATAGATTTAAAAAAGTTCATTTCATTCTTTTCAACTTGAAGTTGTAATCAGTTTCAAGTTTGAAAAATAGGAAACTTTATTGAGTCTAGTACCAGCTTTTGTACCATGTCTAATGATAAAGAAATCAAATTTTGTGATTCATTCAATCAAATTGAATAAATTTTTGATTAATAAATTCAAAATCATTCAAAGTTTCAACGATAATCTCGTCGTGGATATTTAGGACTGAATTTTGACTATTTCAAATCCCGATGCATAACAAAAAGGGTTTATTAAGTGAATCAATCATCTTAAGATGCGTATACGCAGTAAAAGAGTAATAAAAAGTTAGTAATCAACGAGTAAAACCTGTTGAATAAACATTATAAACCATGGACGAGTTGGTGGTTATTTAATCCCAATAGTTCAGTGATGAATGTATTAATGTTTAAAACGATAGACACACTGAGTTTGGTTCTCGATGTGAACATTCACGTCGGAATGCTGGTACGTTGGGCTAAACAGATCCAAATAAGATAAGAAACGTATCATGTATTTCACAAATATAAATATATATATATTGCAAAGTTTAATCTTGTTTGTAATGTCTATCATGAAAGTATTCATATTAATGCTATAATAACATACATTATAAAACGAGTTGAAATAAATAGAACACCTGATCCTAATCGTTTACAATAATGGATTGCTTTTACCAGTTAACCTGACAAGATATTTCACGTTCATTTAAGCTTGATCATAAATCAATAGATTTTTATTGATTAAATCCTTCTAATCTCAACCAATTGGATATTGAAAATCAATTTCACACTTCATCTGTTTGAGTTATAACTCCTGAGATAATATACCACATAAACTTACATACAAAAGAACCGAATGTACAAGTTTATACTGATTGACACAAGGTTGCATGAACTGACTAAAAAATCGTTTATAATGAGTATAATCAGTACACTCACTTAAATTATCATTGGTTTTTACATATTAAGGTGCGAATTGCCGAGCTTACAATTGACTTGTCACTAAGTAATAACCAGGACAATATTTATCAAGTCATTTTAGTTTTTGACAGTGTTCTCTTGGCCAAACTGCAATGTTGTGATCATTCTGAATTACTTAACTTCGCGAGCATTATGTTTTGACCTTAAGTGAGTAAAAGCAGTTGGAAAGATATCTTGAACCTACGTTCCTTAATACTTTGTACTCGTCAGTCAGGCGTACCTGCAAGCCTGAAGAAACTGATACTCGAATTTTCATCAGTCAACGAACTATATCAAACCCCCAATACTTTAACACAGTACATGCAGTATTCAGTAATTCATGCTAGTGTTCATACTACCACTCGATTGACAGATTTCGATTAGTACTAAAAGACTTGACGTTCATGACAAATGGTCACTATATGACCTTGTGTTCGAATAACTCAAACAGTGAAGTTTTATTATGTAAGTGTGGACATTAAGGTGAAAATCAATTCCCTCAAGATCCTAGGTACATCTTGCTAACTTGGTATGAAACATATGTCCAGTTGTTCATGTTAACTGCCTTGAACCATTTAACAAATCGTCATCTATATATATACTTACTTAACATTATTAAATATCTTTGTTCTCCTCTTTCCTTTGTATTTGAAAAGTGAAATCTCTTTTTTTTCTCACTTATCTCATCTTGTAATCCCTCTTTTCAGTAATTCAGTCAGATAATTAAATCGATTTCGGCTAGTTATGTCTAGTAAGTATACTGTATAACAATGAGTATAAGAAAACAGACGAACAATTGAAAATTGTTAACCTTCTTTCGAATCAATAACCTCAGATAGTCATGACTCATAGTATAATTACAAAACTTAACTAAAGCTTTATTTAGAAGTAAAAGAATAATATAAGAAAGAGGAAGAAATAGGAAATGGATTGAGAGATCACGTGAACGAAATAGAATTAACCAAATTTGTGATTAGGTAGTTCCTCATTCAGTCCAGTATTATTGTAGGACGAAACGGCCGTCCAGTGCTTCCAGGTTTCTCATGATGGTCTAAAAAATGATTGATTAATGATTTCAAATATGTAAAAACACTAATCAGTACAATTTGTTTGACGTTATCACATATTTTTTTTAAAAAAAAACTTCATTCATGCAAAATGTACTTTACCTTTCTGTTTATTTGTAATTTTATTGTTATTTTAATGTTTCCTATCAACTGAGTAAGCGTCAAGCAAAGATAAATGATTAATAAGCGATGAAACCTGAAGGGACTAGACGGCCGTTTCGTTTCACGGAGTTGCGTAACCTCATACACAGTCTTCGGTAGTTACTGATCAAGTTAGACATTAACGCCGTTAGATACCGGCTCAGTGGTCTACCGGTTAGGGCGTTCGCGCACAATGCCGAAGGTCCTGGGTTCGAATCCTGCGGGGTGCAGGAGTCGTTGGTGCGCACTGCTGATGAGTCCCATACCAGGACGAAACGGCCGTCCAGTCCCTTCAGGTTTCATCGCTTATTAATCATTTATCTTTGCTTGACGCTTACTCAGTTGATAGGAAACATTAAAATAACAATAAAATTACAAATAAACAGAAAGGTAAAGTACATTTTGCATGAATGAAGTTTTTTTTAAAAAAAATATGTGATAACGTCAAACAAATTGTACTGATTAGTGTTTTTACACATTTGAAATCATCAATCAATCATTTTTAGACCATCATGAGAAACCTGGAAGCACTGGACGGCCGTTTCGTCCTACAATAATACTGGACTGAATGAGGAACTACCTAATCACAAATTTGGTTAATTCTATTTCGTTCACGTGATCTCTCAATCCATTTCCTATTTCTTCCTCTTTCTTATATTATTCTTTTACTTCTAAATAAAGCTTTAGTTAAGTTTTGTAATTATACTATGAGTCATGACTATCTGAGGTTATTGATTCGAAAGAAGGTTAACAATTTTCAATTGTTCGTCTGTTTTCTTATACTCATTGTTATACAGTATACTTACTAGACATAACTAGCCGAAATCGATTTAATTATCTGACTGAATTACTGAAAAGAGGGATTACAAGATGAGATAAGTGAGAAAAAAAAGAGATTTCACTTTCAAATACAAAGGAAAGAGGAGAACAAAGATATTTAATAATGTTAAGTAAGTATATATATAGATGACGATTTGTTAAATGGTTCAAGGCAGTTAACATGAACAACTGGACATATGTTTCATACCAAGTTAGCAAGATGTACCTAGGATCTTGAGGGAATTGATTTTCACCTTAATGTCCACACTTACATAATAAAACTTCACTGTTTGAGTTATTCGAACACAAGGTCATATAGTGACCATTTGTCATGAACGTCAAGTCTTTTAGTACTAATCGAAATCTGTCAATCGAGTGGTAGTATGAACACTAGCATGAATTACTGAATACTGCATGTACTGTGTTAAAGTATTGGGGGTTTGATATAGTTCGTTGACTGATGAAAATTCGAGTATCAGTTTCTTCAGGCTTGCAGGTACGCCTGACTGACGAGTACAAAGTATTAAGGAACGTAGGTTCAAGATATCTTTCCAACTGCTTTTACTCACTTAAGGTCAAAACATAATGCTCGCGAAGTTAAGTAATTCAGAATGATCACAACATTGCAGTTTGGCCAAGAGAACACTGTCAAAAACTAAAATGACTTGATAAATATTGTCCTGGTTATTACTTAGTGACAAGTCAATTGTAAGCTCGGCAATTCGCACCTTAATATGTAAAAACCAATGATAATTTAAGTGAGTGTACTGATTATACTCATTATAAACGATTTTTTAGTCAGTTCATGCAACCTTGTGTCAATCAGTATAAACTTGTACATTCGGTTCTTTTGTATGTAAGTTTATGTGGTATATTATCTCAGGAGTTATAACTCAAACAGATGAAGTGTGAAATTGATTTTCAATATCCAATTGGTTGAGATTAGAAGGATTTAATCAATAAAAATCTATTGATTTATGATCAAGCTTAAATGAACGTGAAATATCTTGTCAGGTTAACTGGTAAAAGCAATCCATTATTGTAAACGATTAGGATCAGGTGTTCTATTTATTTCAACTCGTTTTATAATGTATGTTATTATAGCATTAATATGAATACTTTCATGATAGACATTACAAACAAGATTAAACTTTGCAATATATATATATTTATATTTGTGAAATACATGATACGTTTCTTATCTTATTTGGATCTGTTTAGCCCAACGTACCAGCATTCCGACGTGAATGTTCACATCGAGAACCAAACTCAGTGTGTCTATCGTTTTAAACATTAATACATTCATCACTGAACTATTGGGATTAAATAACCACCAACTCGTCCATGGTTTATAATGTTTATTCAACAGGTTTTACTCGTTGATTACTAACTTTTTATTACTCTTTTACTGCGTATACGCATCTTAAGATGATTGATTCACTTAATAAACCCTTTTTGTTATGCATCGGGATTTGAAATAGTCAAAATTCAGTCCTAAATATCCACGACGAGATTATCGTTGAAACTTTGAATGATTTTGAATTTATTAATCAAAAATTTATTCAATTTGATTGAATGAATCACAAAATTTGATTTCTTTATCATTAGACATGGTACAAAAGCTGGTACTAGACTCAATAAAGTTTCCTATTTTTCAAACTTGAAACTGATTACAACTTCAAGTTGAAAAGAATGAAATGAACTTTTTTAAATCTATGTTAACAAGAAAATAAAAGATTGATTTTGATAAATAACTCTTAAAAGTATCACTTACTTCAGGTGCTGGTGGTGGAGGTCCAGGTCGTCGGCCAACTGTACTAATATTTCTAGTCACATCAGGTGGTATAGAACTTGGATCAATTTGAGTATTAGAAGTTTGCATTGTACTCTGTTGATCAGATTGACCACATGTATTTTCATTAGTTCCGGTGCAATTGGATTGTGTTTGTTGATGTTGAGTTGATGGTTGTGGCGATAATGTAGTATTTGTTGACAATGAAGCAACTTGAGCAAATTGTGGTTGTCTGATGGGTAAGGGTATATTATTTCCTAAAGCTATTTGACTCAAATTACCTGAGGCATTTGTCAGGACTGGTATATAAGACTAGAATTCGGAAATTAAAATCATAAAAGAGATGTTTCATTAATCTAAGTAACATGATATATATAGAAGAGTTTATCATAAATGAAATAGTTGAGCACAATCTTTTTTTCATAAATTATTGAATTTACTGATTCTAGTGGTGAAGAATCGTTATTTTTAATGCGATAACAATGATAAGATTTATCAAACTCAATGTTTATGAGAATCTTTTCCTCGATTAGAAAAACGTTCCAACTGAAGTTTCTTAGTTTGTTAACTTTTTTTCAAAGTAATGCAGTTGGACAAGAAGCGTATAATGATTGGTACCCTCATTGTAAATCCCTCATTGTTATTGTGTGGCTAACATCGTTGGCGCCTAAATCATGTAGAATTGAAGCAATCCCTGATTATGTCATCTAGTGCGAAGTTAAACGGTTTGCCCAGAGAGAATAGAACACTACCAAAAAGAATACACCAGAACTTCAAAACTAAGAAGGTCAATTTCTGATTTCAGGAAGGAAAAGTATCAGATCATCATAAAATATTGTTGATAATTGAATCCGTTATTCTAATGGAACATCCAAGTTGACATAACACATTATTACAGCAAGATAAAACTGTTTCAAGAAGAATTTTAGAGCAGTAGAAATAGTTACAGTATCAGTTTTAGTAGAAAATATTAGACATAAAATCAAGAAAACTGTAAAAGGAGATTTTGGAGGAAGATTATGAGTGAATACACCACCGAACGATTGTGATCGATATCATTCAAAATCTCTAATCACTGGTTACAGTAATCATGGATTTCTTACCTTGTCGCCTAAATCTACTGATATGACTCAGTCTAACAGTTCTTGTTTTCATCTACTAAAGATATCTTTTTGGTTTGATCACTCCCAGCTTGTTTTCAATCTACTCATACACTAGAGAACATCACCATCATGGTAGGCTGTGACTAGATATACGTGCTAGATGCTTTCAAAACATGACTATACTGCTGACAAATTTAAAATGTTATGACAGTCACTTGTTCTTATTTCTTTCAAAAACTTTTTAAATATTACTGGTTTGAAAAGCAGACTTTCTTAACTACGTATATCGCAGTTTGAATATAAAGGTTTGTAAGTCAACCTGCGTACTAGGTATGAAGATTGTGAGTTCGATCCCTTATGAGTAGAGAATAAACATTCATGAGTTATATATAGAGACAAAGCCAATATCTAGTACGTCCAGATTTTCAATGATGGTTTAATTAAGATTAATTTTTGATGTAAACTATACATTTAAACAGTCTCTACGAACAACTTGGAAAGAGTAATACTAGAGATTTAATTTCCTCTCAAATTATTACGCTTGTAGCGAAATTCTATAAACTGTTTGAAATCTTAAGAAAAAGGAAACATCTTTACTATTTAATCATCGATGTGATAGATACATTTAATAAAACTTGTAGAATTCAGTCTAACAATTCAAGAATAAAAAGGCTAGTACAGTTATATATATATATATATATATATATATATATATATATACGTAGGTATTAGATAGATTTGTCTACGTTTCATTGATGTTCGCATTATTAATCAAGAAATATAATCAACTCTATAGATAAGTGTTTTATAAGATTGTTGAACAATTGAAACATTAATTTAGGAATTTAAGGCACTGCTTTTCAATCATTCAGACATCAAGTTTCAGTGGTTCGGTTAAAAAGATGAAAGGTTTATAGCTTATAGAAATGTTGTAACATTTTCACTAATGAACAAATGTTCTATTTGATAACAGTTAATTATGTTGTTGACTTAATCGGCACTAGATTTTAAAAATACTGGTAACGGAAATAAAAGACGATGAAGATTAAGAGGTCATGTAAATTTTTTTTAGTGGTGTGAAGTTCTTTAACTGAATTAGACACTGAAAATTTTATCTAGAAGTAGAACATTTACTTAGAAGACAACAATACCAAAAGTAAAAACGCAAAATATTATTGGCAGTAGTAAAAGATGTAAAGATGCACCAAAAAAGTAAGTTGAAGACTGTTGGTCGAAATCCCACGGAAAGAGCGAGTCTCCTGAACGTTACTGTTACATATTACTGACTCATGCTGATCAGTGTGAAAACTAGACCCAACACATTCCTGTTGACTATTTTTAATCACTCAATATCAAAACAACTTAAGAAGTAAGCAGTAACATAATCTGATAATAATGATTTACATTACGGGGTTGTGAAGATTGTTAAGTTACACATATTTGAAACCATGAATCGATCAGTGTTAGACCACAACTAGAAACCTGGAAGCACTGAAAGACGGCCGTTTCGTCCTGGTATGGGACTCCTCACCAAGGCGCATCCACGACTCCTGTACCCCGCAGGAGTAGGCATTCGCCTACAATACCGAAGGTCCTGGGTTCGAATCCTGCGGGGTGCAGGAGTCGTGAATGCGCATTGCTGAGGAGTCCCGTACCAGGACGAAACGGCCGTCCAGTCCCTTCAGGTTTCATCGCTTATAATCATTTATCTTTGCATTCGACACAACACAACAAGCACAAAGCGAATCACACCTGACGGTGAAGCTTTGGATAATGTAAAATCTTTTACATGTCTGAGGAGCTTCATTGACAATCAAGGTGGATCTGATGCAGATGTGGGAAAGTGATGACAGCATTTCTACAACCGAAGAACATCTGCAACTCAAAACAGCTGTCAACTCAATTTCCAATACAAACATCAAGATAGTTCTATTGTATAGAGCGTAAACTTGGAGAACCACGAAAGCCATAATCCAAAAGATACGAGTGTTTATTTGCATTTGTGTACGCAAAATATTTATGATCCGTTGGCTAGAAAGCATCAGCAACAACATACTGTGGGAGAGAATAAACAAGATGCCGGTTGTGGGAGAAATCAGGAAGAAGCGTCTTATGCGAATAAGACACAATCAGTAAAGCATCAAACTGTGCTCATCACAAGTCCTCACTAGAAATCTTCAATGCTAAAGGAAAAGAGTAAGGCCAAGAAGTACATCATGCCGAGAAAGGGAGACAAACATGGGAAGAATGAATAAAAATTGAACAGAGCTGCAAAGGAAGGCCTAGGACAGAGTAGGTTAGAGAATGCTGGTCAATGGCCTATGATCCTTTGGGGGTAACAGGCGAAAGTAAGTAAGTAAGTAAGTATAACAAATATTTCAACAGGAATTCACTTGAGACTATGGATTAGATGAAGCTCAGTAAGTTGTATTTAATTTAAAAATTAGTGTTATATCATAAAATTTTATAGGTTTTTCAGTGATAACCTAATAGCGTAAGTGGCAAACTATGATAAAATGAAGTTCTCACTGATTGAATGAGATCATCATATGTTTATCACTAAGATAAGGAGATTATCACTAAACTACTCGAGCGTTTTATGATGCAATCTTAATCACGATTTAAAAGATAATAATCACTTTTACCTTGTCTAGACCTTAGTTTGAATAAAATCCCTATGGTAACAACACTGATTAATGACGTGTTACAAATTTCAAGAGATTATTTATCATATAACTATTAACATTAACACTAATAATAAGTCAATTTAATATATTAAATGAAGAATTTCACGTTAACAATGAAATAGCAAACTAGGTTATGAGTTTTTCTTCAACTTCATATGAATATATTTGATCAAAAACAAAGCAGCATATCATCATTTGAAATAATCATTTAATCATTTAATAACAATAGAGTTCCTGAATTCAATGTGTCCAACTTTTTGTTTTAATGATGATGGAATATTAAAAACATAGATCAGTTTAATTTAACAATGTAGTTAAAGAAAATGGAAAATGTTAAGGAGATTTGTGTATGTGCTTGTGTGTGTGTGTGATATTTGATAAAAACAGTCGTACTATAGTGAAGGAGAACACAGGTGAGGGCAACCGAATTGTATTTAACGAAAATTACAGAGTTACTCAGTAAAATAGGAAAACCATATCGTAAATCGTTCATTTGCAAATCTTCAATCCATCATCAATCCATTGTCTGACATTTCACTTATTCATGCGTTTCATGCAAATTCCATTGTGTTCCGACTCTTCCTTTCTTGATCTTCCCCCATCTTCTGCTGCCAGACATTACGTTTACACTCGCGTCATATACTACTTATAAGTAGCTCACACCACAGTACAAGAATTCAGTTCAATTAACTATCAGTTTGTCAAGTGAATATTGATTTATAAAATAATCTATTAGTCAATCAGTGGAAAAATTGTGGAATGTAACATCTAGTAGACACATGCACATAAACATTTATAATCATGCACAAAGATTCCACTTGAATCTACATCATGTCTACTAAACAAGGAGTTTAAATAATACTGTAATATATATAAATACACATGTTTGCGTAACACTTTCGCATACATTTTATATCATTAAAATTTATCTTTGCTTTAAGTATGCACTTTAACTTTTTTCTAGTTAATCTGTTCATGCTGCTATACTTACAATGTAACGACACTTACATTAGTTTACATTTAATTGGTTGTTGTATATGTGTCTTCAAATGTAATATAATTGACCCCAGAATATCACATATTATCAAGTATAACTAATAATATCTGTAGAGATATTGATGAAAGCGTGTTCTGATTGAAATTTCAATGTATGTAGTAAATAATATATGTTTATTGTTGATAAATGAACTTTTTATCCTGATGATAAAGGATATAACATCTAATTATGGCTTATTTAGACAATTGAAATAGTTATGCTACAATCAAGAAACAATGGTGCAATGGAATTTTCGAATTTGGAATGTAATATGAATTTTTTAGTTTTGTGTTATGTTAAAAGACTTAATGATTGCAAAATTGACCACAATATTGGACACTGTAAGTAATCAAATGCTAAAGTGAGCATATATAGCACTTTAGATAGGTTTAATATGTAAATTCGAATAAACTATTCCTTGTTTAGTGCATTTGTAGTTGCTGTTTGAATCTTCCCATTAATACTTAAGACTACAACGGCATATATGCAATCACAGCGGACTACTTTGTTATGACTATCACGTCACATGTATAATAAGTAGAGATGGATAGTAGCTGGCAATGGAATTTGAGATGCGCATTTCGTCCTAGTTGGGACTCTTTGTCTGAATATGTCAAATGATACTGATTACCTGAAAATCTCATTATCTAAGTATATGCATCTATCTACAAAATCTTACAAGAGTATGAAATAATAATGTGACAGTTTGAAGTATTTTCAAATTCTATTTTCTAAAACTACACAATATTGTTCCCTACGAATAGATAATTAGCTAGGTCGACTGTTTTTTTCATTATAGAGTTATGGAGATTATTGTTGATTACTGAAATCATGAATCGATCATTGTTAGACCACCACCATTAGAAACCTGGAAGCACTGGACAACCATTTCGTCCTAGTATGGGACTCATTAGTAGATGCGCATCTGCTGATGACGAAACAGCCGTCCAGTGTTTTCAGGTTTCTAATGGTCGTTTAACAATGATCCATTCATGATTCCAGCAATAGGTCAACTGTCTAAGATAATTACAAAATATTTTCAATCCATTCATGAAGATGTAATTTTATTCATCAAGTTGGTAAGAAGTAGTTTACTATTTGAATATATAAAGCATCATTTCGGTTGTAAACATGATAAATAAAAAAATAACACATTATTAGACAAGGTTATTGTACATTACAGAAAGAAGAATGTGGTGATGGTGTTTGGTTCTCTGAGCTGGATGTTTTGGTTAAGGAGCTTTCATTGTTCTTACACTGAACAATATCATCAGCACAAACTTTAGATAGAAGTGAAGCATTCGAATTTCTCCAGATCAAAAAGCGAGACACAATCAAACCAAAGGTGCAAACAGCGACAGGTTTAAGGTCAACATCAACCAATCAAGATCGAGGTTAGCAGAACAAGCGACAGGTCAATTGTGGAGAAATTCGAATACTTCACTTCTTCTATATGAAGTTTGTGCTGATGATGTTGTTCAGCAGAAGAAGAACAATGAAAGCTCCACAACCAAAACACCCAGCTCAGAGAACCAAACACTACCACCACAACAATCATCCACTTGAGCTACAAATCTTCTCCACCATCTCAGAAAGAAGAATATACAACAATGAATGAAAAAATGATCAAAAATCACTGTCCAGTATGACTAATGAAAATAAAACAAAATTTAAGATGTACATCAAAATCTGTAGAAAAATCTTTCTATGATGATCTGATATTCTCTGATCTAGGTGATTGATCTTTTATAAAATAAGTATTACTATTGCTGTACAAAAAACGTTAATCTGATTGATGCTTCATAATTTATCTATATCTCACTCGAAACACGTAACACTACAGATAACAACATCCTTATGAGCTATAAATCTTCTCCATTATTTCAATATCTTTTTAGATATATTATCATTAATATTATTCGCAAAAAATTCTTGAAAGGAAAATTATAATAAATAGTCACTAAAAACTGCTTCTTATGAATTTGCTAATAAACCAGTGAAGAGTGTATTATATGTACGTTCATTTAACTGTTTATGTACTTATAATTTTCTTTTATAAATAAAATGAAATAATAATGATCAAGATGTAAATTAAAAAAGATCAAAAACATCATCTCGTCAAACCAAAGAAGATGTGCTATGTGTAAATAGTTGATTTCAAAGAAATAAACAAACATAAGCAGACAAAGTTTATTGGTGATAAAATATAATTTTCAGGTAGAGCTTTGGAGGTTTGCGTTTTTACACATTTGAAATCATCAATCAATCAATCATTGTTAGATCACCATTAGAAACCTGGAAGCACTGGACGGCCGTTTCGTCCTGGTATGGGACTCATCAGCAGTGCGCATCCACGACTCCTGCACCTCGCAAGATTTGAACCCAGGACCTTCGGTATTGTGAGCGAACGCCTAACCATCGGACCACTGGGCCGGCATCCAACGGTGTTAATGTCCAACTCTTATTGGTCTACGGATTTTGCGCGACCTCACCCATGATTGATTGATGATTTCAAATGTGTAAAAACACAAATCTCCATAGCTGTACCTGAAAATATCGTAACAGTGCTCACTAGTGACTAGCTTCGTGAGGAAATTCTCGGAGTTCCAGCTGAGAAGACGTGACCAGTGAAGTTCAACCCTGTCCGGTGTAGGCAGTAACTACCAAAAACAAATGGATGAGGTCGCTCAAAATCCCTAGATCAATCTGAGTTAGAAATTAACACCGTTGGATGCCGGCCCAGTGGTCCGATGGTTAGGCGTCCACGCACAATACCGAAGGTCTCGTGTTCGAATCCTGCGAGGTGCAGGAGTCATGGATGCGCACTGCTAATGAGTCCCATACCAGGACGAAACGGCCGTCCAGTGCTTCCAGGTTTCTAATGGTGATCTAACAATGATTGATTGATGATTTCAAATGATAAAATATAATTTGATTTACATTGTAAAGTAAGGAAAGAATAGATAAAAGACTAATAAGAAGAAATGAACAAACACTAAGCAACAAATGAATGTCTGTGTCAGCTTACGGAATAATTAACTATTTGTAAATATATATTTGAGAATTTTATTTTAACTACACTCTCTCTCTTTTTATTTCTTCTGATTTATGCAGACTTATTAGAATTTGTACAATTCAAATTAAATGAAGCGTGAATGAAAAGTATACTCAATTTGTAAATGAAACTCAAAAGAATGGGATCATGAAAATGACAATAATGAGATATCTTATAGATGTTTCAAATACTTCATAAATTATTATTTAGATTGTTGTTGATACTTATCTTAATTGGTAAATATAATTGTCTATGATGATGCAATTAAAAGGTTTACAATCGATTTGTTGATTTTGGCGAAGAAACTATGCAACACTGCATAGTGTGTTGAGAAAAACCTTAATGCACAAAGAAATTAGATAGAACAAATGAACTTGGGGTTTAGGTATTTGCAACTGATCAGAAAGCAGATATATATATTTACAATCTATTTTCATGTTAGTTAATTTCTTCTCTATCAGTCAACTTCAAACAAATGCATACTTTTGCAAACGTTTCAAAACTATACTACTTTAGAAAATGATTTCATTCATAAGTATTTATTTGTCCGAACGGATCTTGATTTTCACTGGCTGATGTGTTGTACAAACTGATCAATAATTGAGAAACAATACTACTACACTTAGGACTTAAACAGTAACAGAAGTTTATTTACTAGACATTTATTTGCATTGTTTAGAACAGTTTGATTTGAGAAAGAGAGTTTTAATGTTCTCTGTTAAGACATAAGTTTTCATCAGTGAGGCTAAAAGTCAACTTAGAAAATGTAATCATTACTCAAAATTATAAAAAAAAATGACAAAAGGTTAATACAGAAAATAGAAGGAATTCTTTTTTGTAACATGTGATGATATCGATCTGTGTGAATGATTAATGCAAACGATGTTGTTTTCTGTCAACCATAACTTATCAACTAATAAATTACGTATATATATATATATATATATATGTTATATTTCTTCGAAATAGTTCCAGTCAGACTACTGGGTGGTTTGTTCAAACTATTTCATAACAATCAGTAGGATTTTAACGGATATGTTCCCATTTTTTTTAATGTTTGTAAATTTAACTGTTTACTTTCAGTATTTCACTGACAACAGATTCTCAATTTGTTTTTTTTTTCACATAAATTGTAAAATAAATATTTACAATGAATATTTATAGTGAAGAACTTTTGTTTTAGTTCTTTGTTAAGTTTCATGTTTTCTTTCAATAAGTCAACTAATTAATTATGGATTTAAATTTCCCGCGCTATAATTAGACTTTATTTCAAGAAAATGAATTGAACAGTGTAAACAGTTAGATAATGTAAACAAAAACAAGAACAACAAGAGTTAGAGGATAAAAAAATTAATTCATCACTCTCTCTCTCTCTCTCTCACACACAGTTTCTGATCTCAAATAAAAGAAAGAGTTCGTTCATGAGATTGAGATGAATGTTTAAAATGGAAGAACTTGAAACCATATTCAGAAGAACAAAACTTATAATTATAATTTGAAATCATCAATCAATCATTGTTAGGTCACCATTAGAAACCTGGAAGCATTGGAGGGCCGTTTCGTCCTGGTATGGGACTCATCAGCAGTGCGCATCCACGAGTACTGCACCTGGCAGAATTCGAACACGGAACATCCGGTATTGTGCGCGAACGCCTAACCAACGGATCACTTGGCCGGCATCCGACAGTGTTATTGTCTAACTCTGCGAGGTGCAGGAGTCGTGGATGCGCACTGCTGATGAGTCCCATACCAGGACGAAACGGCCGTCTTTCAGTGCTTCCAGGTTTCTAATGGTGGTCTAACAATGATTGATTGATAATTTCAAATGTGTAAAAACACAATCTCCAAAACTCTAACCGAAAATATTATAATTAGAACTCCAGTTTCTATTTGGAACACGCATTCTAATTTTACTAGCTCAATATGTTTTTGGAATTGAGATGAGTTACTGTAAAGTAAAATGATGAATTTATTGTATTTTAGAAATCACATTGTTCTTGCTTTGTTTAAATTTATTAAAAGGTTAGAAAATGGAACAGCTAAGGAAACTAATTTAACTTGTGTTGAATATAAACAAAATTAGAAATAAACGAAATGCATCCTAATAATAATAATAATAATAATAATAATAATAATAATAATTGCAAATCCTACTGATGGCACAATTCACTTACTTGTCCAGTAGCTCTATCAACATAAATAATACGACCAGTAATATTTGGAGTTTGACCAGATCCGGTAAGAATTGTACAACCAGGTGGTAATTTAATTTGTGATAATACAGTTCTCTGACCAGTGGTAGATGTAACTTGTGACGGCTGAACAGATGGATGTTGTTGTTGTTGTTGCGGCATTGGCATACAAATAGCTCTTATTGGTGTTAAATTGGAAGACAAAATTGTATTATTTGCCATGATTACATTCGGTACTGGTGTGGGTGTTGTTGTACCAATTGGTAAATTATTCACTTGAGACTGATTAATTTGACTAGGTGGTACAAATTGATTTTTAGATGTTAATAATAAAGAAGTATGCATTGATGGATAAGAATCTGTGCCAATTATTGCAACATTCATTGGACCAGTAGGTGTCACTGAAAAAAACAGAGAATGGTTTTTTTTCACGTTTAATTTGTGTTTGCGGAAAAAAAACAGATAAAATTTGTATTTGTTTCTACTTTCTTATCATACTTTTTTTTCTTCCGACAATTATCATTGGTGAATTTTAATTATAACAAATAAACAAGTATAAATGATAAAAAAACAAGATTATAGAGAAATAAAATTAGAACACCTGATAAAATTATGTAAATATTTGTGATATGTCAACAATTTTTTCCTCTCAAAAGGAATAAAAAATGAGAAAAATATTTATGTTAAGAAGAATTGCATAATGGAATGAACTATTCTGATAAATATCAATTATTAAGTTAAATGAAATAAACCAAATGTTTATGAATATTACTGGTGTAGTGGATACTACTCACAACATATGGATTGTAAGTAGTATGCAGATGAGCGTCGCTTAGAGGTTACTACTGGAGAGAAGAGTCTCAGATCGGAATGCATGACGTGGACATGAGAAGAAGAAGAACAGCCAATTAATCTGGTTGTTTTTTTGCACAATGAAGCTTGAAGATTAGATGTACACACATTTTCTTCGTAAACTGTGTCTTTTCTAAATATACTACTCTATTCCATCCGGTTTTAACACATTTGTTCATTACATTTGTAACCAAACCAGTTTGCTTAAACCAAGAATAAAATATCATTAGTATGCAAAGCCTATATACCAAATACATATTTAATGTACTAAGCTTTGAGTCACGATAATATTCTGTTGCCTTAGCTGACACAAACAAAGTGTAGTTCAAGACTACTGGTTACAGATTGAAGGACAAGAAGTTGAATCTTTCCATTGGTTACTTTTATGTACAATCATTGATTTAACTTTATGATTGTAATGAAATTATTTTTTACATTAAGACTTTTTTAATAAAGAACTGAGAACAAAATACTCAGTTTAATAGGTATTTCTACCAAAAATACATAAATCGATACTTTTAAGATTAATCTTCAACCGCTTTTGTATTGAGTTTCTCACGAATT